CACTCCTCTTTGGGTGGGTTTTCTGAATACCATTTCGCTTCCGACTCTATTTGCGTGTATTCGTCGATACGCTCGACGGCCACCACATTGTTCTCCATTTCCGCAAACATCCGGACCCCCCAATTCAGTACTAGTGTTATATTCAGGGCATATGATATGGAAAGTCCTATCTCTGCGCCGTTGAGACTACCCCTCGAGAGCACCGATAGTAAGGCCGCGAAGAATATGATTAAATTTGCTAAGAATTCAAGTCTTATGGATAACCAACAGTTGGCGACAGCGTTGGGATAGAAACACATCTGATTGTTGTCTACCCTCTGGTCGGACACCTCAATGAACCTCTGGTTTGCATTGTAAGCCCTAATAGTGGACACACCGTTCAGGGTTTCACTGAAATGCGAGTATATCGGAGATCTAGTGACCGACTCTAATCTATTAAATGTTTACAAAAATTAGTTTCAACGCTATAATAAAATTGAGATTTTCTAATACCGTTTCAATTGACGACTGGTTGTGACATAGAATTTCTGTATTAAATAGTAGATAACCATAACCGGCACAAACACCGCGATAAATATAGGGGTCTGTATGGATATGGTGGCCAGTATAGCCAGGGTCTGGAATACCGTACTCGATAATACCCTGTAAATTAAATAAAAATTTTGGTATAAATTACATAATACTAAAAATTATATACAGAATATTCTGTATGTAATTCCAAGCATACCTTAACGTCATTTGCATAATACTGTCCAAAACGTCGATGTCTTTACTGAACCGATTGATGACTCGACCCATGGGTGTGGTGTCGAAGAAGTGCATCGGCGCGTGGATTATGTTTGTCAACAGTTTCTGGTGTAGAGTACGTGAGGCCAACAAAGACCCGGACACTATTGAGCTCCAGCCGTACCACAGGGACACCGCCTGACAGAAGCCTATGACAGCATATATTCCTAAATAATAGCCATTCCTTTCTGTGCCATTCGGGTCTTCGGTCCAATACGTGATCCAAAAACTGGATCCACTGTTACAGCCATTAGTGATGGCATATCCGGTAATTATACTGAATGTCCAGAACATTGACATCGATTTTGCGAACTTTTTGTATATCTAATCAAATAATTGATAAATTATATAAATATCTCAAAATAAATACGGTATTAATTTTTTAAAATATTAATTCATTTATAAAATATTAATTTATAAATATTCTTAATCTTATGTTAATCGTAAACATTGGTGAAATTACTTCTGAGTTTCCTATCATTGTTAGTATCCAATGAAAAAATCTAAAATTAGCTAGATTAAAGGAGCTTTCTAGGATTTTATTTACAAATAGATTATTGAATACTTTATTTACTTAATATTATGATAATTCTCATAAAAATAGTTAAATAAACATAAATCACAACTTACTTCAAACTTAACATTTCCTGAACCCGTGGTTTCGATTTCAACTAATTTTGATTTATCTACAGTCGAGTCGGTTGTCTGCGCCGGTGGTTCACTAGTCGATGCTCGGGCTCTAATCGGCCCCTCCGATGAGTGGGTGCTGTCAGAGTCATCGTCAACGACACTTGTGGTGAACTGATCCATGAGTTCAGCGAAGTCTCCCTTAAGAGCCATGAGTTCATCATAAGTCCCAAAATCAGTGATCTTTCCGTTCTTTAAGACAATAATATAGTCGACGTCCGGAAGAACGAAAAGACTGTTTGTCACCA